AGGCAAGGAGCTTCTAGGTCGTAAGGAAGAGGCTCAGTCGTGTTTTTCCTTCTTAAGAGAGAAGTACTCAGAATATATCAAGTTACATTTGGAATTATCGCTCTAGTTCTCGTTCCTACGTCGGCCTGCTAGATACACGCCCCCGACACTAAGGAGGAAGACCGCGACAGTGAGAGTACCAAGGGCGAGAAGCAGCCGGAACGGACGCTGAAAACAAACGTGGAATGTAGTTATAATAGTTTGTCACGCCTCATAAAAACCTAGATGTAACTTCCAAGAGTTTCACTACCCGTGAAACTGTCATGTTAATAATCAGAATCCGTTTACAAATGAAATCGTCACCTAGACGCTTATTCGATTATAAAAAAAAGTCGAAACGTGCTCGTAGCTCGATTCTTGCATTTCCTTGCTTGTGTTTTCCTTCAGTTGTAACGCCCTTAATGCATCATCTACTCACGCGAATTTGTCAGTTTTACAAGGCGTTCAACAGAGCCATCCTGTTACTAGCCTCAGTCAAAGATTTTCCCGTATCCAACAGTTTTAGTATCTGTTGACGGCGAAAGATGTAGGACAAGATTTTGTAGTCCGACCAAGACAACGGCTCCAGGGGCAGTAACCACAAAGTTTGCGTTGGCTCCTCATATGTGGTATGACACACAAACATCTTGTCAGCGCCTTTATCTTCAATTTCTAGCATATACTTAGTTGATGGGTTTAGCACAGCAATATTTCCATCTAGTGACACTTTTATCTTGAATTTTCTTGTGATGGACCAAACAGACATTCTCCATGTTTCAAATATTCTTCCGTTTCACCAGCGTTTCGAATGACAACCAAACCATATCTGTCAACTGGAATTCAATCCGATGTTTCACATGATCACCCCAGCTGAATTCATCAGGAACAGGAGTTTCTAGAGGCAGATCTACTGGAGCAAAATCGACGCCGTCGAGTTATCATGAACTGACAAGACTTAGCATAAATTGTCGTACACAACGTCTGGGCTGGTAGTACCTTGTTGCCCCAGATTTCCAATTTGCGGTTGTTTGACTTCGATTTTCAAGTTTTTCTCCATTTTTCACCTCGACGAAAGAGTTTGTGCCATACAGAAGACTCACGAATCCAGCAATGTCCTCTGGCGGTTTTCCGTTATTCAACAACTTCAGTACCTGCATGCAGCGTTCAATATCACTCTTGTCCGTACTGGCGATTGCATCAGCTGGTCCGAATATTAGCGTCAAAATTTCAGCAATAATCTTGCTTGGCTTGCCCATTGCGATTAAATGCATGATAACTCGAGGTCTTGTGGTCAAAACATCATTCTTAGCTACATCCTCGAGGATGGCGGCAGTAATATCAAATTTGCACGGCTTTAAAATTAACCATTGACGGCATTCAGTTGGATACCTCCGTGAGCAGCCAGCCAACCATTCGTTAGTTTTCAAGGAAAACGACATCACCAATCTGGGATAATTTGACATCAAATTTTGTCGCGTTGTCCAGATCCATCAGGACAGAAGGAATTCCATGAAAGTTTCTAGTAGCAGATGTTGGCTCTTCATTGTAGCGCTCCGAAGTGTGACCATCCCGTTCCTCACAGGATGAATTTCGACGAAACCCGATGACGCTTGAAAAGGACGTCCGACAGTATACTCTTCACGCCCCGTAATTAGTACTACAGGTGTGTCGAGCGGTAGGAGTTTTATGTCGAGATTCTGGAGACAAGACATTGTAGAGCACCAGCGCAGAATGAATATTGAGCGCGCACAAAATATCGATGGCTGGAAACAGTGTCTTCGCCCGAGTTTAAAACGTCCATCAGGTTAATGCCTGTCTATCAGGCTTTACCCTTCTTATACTGATAGATAGATGCGAGTAATTTCTCGGATATTAGTATTGATTGTACGGTATGGCTGTCCAGACAATTTCATATTCTGATGGTTCGATTTGTTCAACTTGAGCCCTTAACATGTCCATTGCCACTTCGTCGTTCAGCAAATATCAACCTCAGCGTTTTCATACAGCTCGTGGACCCATTTCCAACCGTCTACTTTCCAATGACAAAGTTGTCCTTAGCAGCACGGACAAATCCCAACACTTTGATCGGATCTTTCTCGCCATTCGCAAACTTCTGCACACTGGCTTCCGTCACACGCATGAATGGGTTCGTCGCCAACTCTTCCTTCACCGACGATGGGACTGTAGGTTCACCGTCCTTCGTCTTCTCAATGGCCCACTCCAACTTCTTCTGCACGACTTCATTCTCCGGCTCCACATGAGCTGCAAAGCGTAAATTACTCGCCGTATACTCGTGGCCGCAATAGATATTTGTCTCCTCCGGCAGCTTAGCCACCACCTCATTCAAAGCGTGGTGCATTTCTGCCGAATTGCCACTGAAGAACCGACCGCATCCCGCGATAAACAGCGTGTCGCCCGTGAAGAGAGCGTCCTGGCAATGATACAGCACGTGGTCTCGTGTGTGGCACGGGGTGAAATAGACCTTGACATCAAGATCTCCGACCTTAACCACGTCTCCACTAGTCACAGTCTGCGTCTGAGCTTCCACGGCGTCTCCAGGTCCGCCGACCACCGGAATTTGACGATTCTCATGCTTGTAAATGAGGTCAGCGAGCTCTCGATTGCCGCCAGCGTGATCCCAGTGCGAGTGGGTAGTCAAGATCATAGAGATGGACACTTGCAGCTCCTTGGCACGACTGTAGACCTTCGCAGCATCCACCGGATCGACTGCCGCTGCCACGCCTAAAAAGTTGTACAGAGGTCATTGACTGTAAAGCGCAAGACGTAGAGGAAGGGAGAAACGTACGGGTGGCAGAGTGAATCAGCAGATACGCGTAATTGTCCGAGAGCACCGGCACGAGCTCCACCTGCATTGTCAAGAATTCTACTGTGTCGTTCCTTCAGTGATTTCGATAGTAAGCTGCTCACTTGACAAGGATCAAAGCTTTTGACAAATTACAATTCTAGCCTGGTCATGACCAACACTCACGCTAAGTTAGAATCTGGAATCTGTGCAGAGGTAAATAGAAGAGCTAAAAATCTGAGTAGATAATCAGAATATGGCAAGAAAACGCCACCATGGCAAAATGCTAAATCAAAAGTGGTCGTGCTGGGCAAGCGATTCCTTCTTATCCGTGATTAGGAAAAATGGACTGTCATGAGAGCAGCAACAGAGATGTCAGCAAGCAGCATGAGATCGCTCTTGTCAGTGCTGCGTTTTGCTATCATGGGCAAGTTCCCTCCTGTCGACGGGCACATAATCTACGAACGCGGCTTCTCCTTCTTCTCCTTGTACAGAGCCAGCAGCGACACGCCCGAGACCTTGACGACCTTGAAACGCACACCGGGAATATCACCGACGGCGTGGCCACGACGACCGAAACCCGAGATTAGGACCTCGTCGTTCTCGTCGACGTAGTTGAGGCAACCATCGCGCGGCACGAAGGCGGCGATCTTCTTCGAGTTCTTGATGAGCTGCACACGGCACGACTTACGAATAGCCGAGTTAGGCTGCTTGGCCTCAATGCCGATCTTCTCAAGAACGATGCCCTTGGCCATGGACGAACCACCAAGCGGGTTGGCCTTCATGGCGGTCACCGAGTGGCTCTTGTTGTAGGACTTCTGAGCCCAGCGCTGCGTGCGGCGGTGCACGCGCAGCTTACGCGCGCAACGGATACCGGAAGGTTTGTCTGTATAAAGAGGCACAATAACACCGTCAGCCACTCAGGAAGTCACTGTACACCTGCATGCCGGGTCTTCCAAGGTACGCGTCTCCAGCGCACAGACTGTAGTCTTCTCCCCCTTTATTGCATTCCTTGCGCTGTGTTCCTGTCAATAAGTCGAGCCTGTGTTTCGTGTCTTTTGGTCTGTGCTATCCGGTACACTGTGTCTGTCATACGCTGCGATTGCTGGAAAGGGAGAAGACGCATTGCCTGCTCGCTGGAGAAGTGCGTCCCGGTAGACCGCTGTACATTATCTTGAAAAAAAAGCCTACGTACGCTTAGCCATTTTTCAGTCGAAGGAATATCGGAATCTTCACTGACGGCTTTCGAAGACAAGACCCAACTTGGCTGGCGCACGAGAATGAATGGAGGACGCAGAGAGGGACGGTACCGTGGCAGACGCGGACACAATAATATTAGACCAAAGGGCTAGGGACTCGAAGCGCAAATAAGCGAAGTGATGCCTTTGGATTGGATAAAAAAAGTGTCAAAACAAAAGTTTACACAAAAAAGTTTACATAGCGTCACCAAACGCTGCAACATGGGTTGTAAACGTAGACCACAACTATGTCACCCAAGTCAGCTTCAAGTTAATTCTAATGATTTGGTTATTGTTTGAATGGCTGCAGTATTGCTGCAAGTTCTAGTGGATGCACCCGTCACATTACAGCTCGTCACGTGCCTTTTTCTTCTTGGATTTCTTCTTCTTAGACTTGTGTTTCTTCTTGCTCTTCTTCGACTGCTTCTCCTCGGACTTAAGTTCCTTCTCCAGCTCGTCACGCTGCTGTTTCTCGTCAGAGAGAATCTCGCTCAACATATCGTCCAAATCTTCGTCGTCCTCAGTGACGCCATCAGCTCCTAGTGCAACTTCTTGAATCTCATCAAACGAGCATTCCTCACCCAGTTCAGGAACGTTTCCAATTGGTGCAGTTCCGATACTACCGGACAGCACACTCCTCAAGAACGCAGCCGCATTTTCTTCATCGAAAAGCCCCACGTTTGTTGCGTATCGCTGCTTCGAAGGAGAGTACACAGCAAGTGTTGGCATTTGGAAGAGGCCAACGCCGAAGGCTTCGGCGAAGTCCTTCTGACACTTTCCATTGACCCACATAAAGCGGAAGGGCTCCTTGTTCTGCTTGCTCTGGGCTGCCACGTGCGCAAAAGTTGTCCACCACTTGGCAAGGCGAGACTCCGGGTCGCTCAGCGTGTCCAAATGATCCTCAAAGAATCCGATTGCACAAATTTTGTTGCCGCCACAGAGATCATCCATGTTCTTCTTGGTCAAGTACGGCACAAGCGATCGGGCAGCCTTCTCGTCGAGTGATGAAAAGTTGATCTCCTCGCTTTCCGGCTTAGCATCTTGAGGATGCGGGTACTGAGCAAGAACCTGCAGAATAAACTGCATGATATTCGGGTAGTTGTACGCACCCATTTTCTTTTTCTCGTAGGCTACGACGCCGAATGGGGCAGCAGTTGGGTCCTCCGAATCCGTTTTAGTAGGCACGAGACATACCAGCGACGTGCTAGCGGATGGTTTGACCAAAAACTGCTTCTTCAGATCCTCATCAGCGTCATGAATCACTGCTAGTCTAACCTTCTGGGTAGGAACTGACAGTACGAGAGCCTTTATCATTGGCGGGGTGCTCTTCTTGGTCGTAAACAGTAAAATAGGGAGCGCGCGGTTTTCTCTAGCGTGGGAAATGAATCCATTCAGATCAGCAGTTGACTTAATTTCCACAGTCAGATCCGGGATGGCTGCGATAGCCGACTCCTTAGCCTCATCTATCGTTGTAAACGTTTGCGTTTGAACATCGCCGCGTTTCAGCTTGTTGTCCTCCGTTAAAGCCAGCGGGAAGACGCGAACACCAGGTCCGCCATGACGTTCACAGAGTTCTGCTTCCTTCTCACAGCTTACTGCACCCATCGCCACCACCCCTGCTTTACGGTGCAATTCCGTCAGTGATTTCTTCCACTCTTCCTCTGTTAAAGCCTGTTCGCGCTCGGCATTCATAAACTCTATGATCCAAACCACGTTCGAGTGGAGCACGAGGTCGTCGAAATCCTTTCCTGAGAAGAATCTGATAAACTTCGAGGCTTCCTTTCCTTTCTTAACTCCACTTGTCGCTGTACGTTCCTTTTCGGTCGCAAAAGGCTCCACAAAGCCCTTCAATTCACCGTACGTCTTGGTGTTCTCCGCCTTTAACACCACATGCTCCGTCATGGACCTCAACACCACCATACCGGGCAGTTCTTCGATCTTTAACGCGTTCATAATTTCTTCCGCTCTTTGTTCATCCCTATTCAAGAACACAAAACTCAATCCTTGGCCATTAAACTCCGCCGCCAAGGCTCGATACATCGGTGACGTGTGCTTCTGCTTGGAAATCAGCAGCGCGACCGTCTCCTCTTCGTTAACCTTCTCATTCACAAGCTGCTCAAAGCTCTTCAAAGTGGCTTTGTCTCCTTCAAGCTCCTGTACATATTCGTTTGGGATCGCCTGCTTCAGCATCTTCTTGAGCTTCCGCGGGCTGTCCAAGATCGCCGCATCTGTGGCCTTCGAGTCGCGATATATTTTGCCAGTGTATGGGTTCTCCTTAGGTGCATCTTTGTAAATAACCAGCGCTGGCGCCTTGGCCAGCTGCCACTTGTTCCCGATCGAGTCCTTGTGGTGCGGCGAAATGTCCACGACGCCAAAGGTTACGAGCCCTTCGAGCTGCTTCTCGAGATCCGGCAGCGACGGATACGCCGTGGTGGCCAGCTCCTCGAGGCTGCGTTCCTCCGTCTCCTCTGTGCCGAGAATCAGCAGCGCGTGCACTTTGGCCGAGCGCTCGACTGCTGCAAGCTCAGTGGAGGTTGTGATGGTCTTGAGAGCGTTGACGCTGCGCCATGATACACTGACGCACAAGGCGCCGAGAAGCGCACGGAGAAGCATGAATGAATGTGCACTGGTTTGTTGCAGTTGGCGATAGTAAAGTGAAGTGAGGCAGCGGCTCCCGTAAAGTTGCCTTTTCGATCGTCTACCACGTGGCGAAAGATTTGATTTGGTTGATTCTCGAATGCGGCCTTCAACTCAATGCATTTCGATAAGTCAAGTTATGATATTGAATAGGTTTTACTGTTTGAAGCCATCCTCTTCAACCGTCCTTGACTAGCTACAAAGTGAAGCATTGACGGTCTCGGCTTGGTAGATCGTAGCATTGGCCTGGAACAGACTGGACGACAGTGCTGATGCTAGTTCATGTCAAGAACTTCTTGACTCGACGAAGCGCCCAGGATGTTTTGGTGAAGCACGACACGAAAAGAGCGATCTGTCTCAATAGTTAACAAGTTCTGGTCTTTGATACCTGTCGAGTCGAACATCATAGTCGCCTTTCAACTGGACTTTAGAGGTAGCAATTGCTCTGAGCCGATTGGATGGGCTGCTCGTACTCGATTGACAGCGAGCCTCAGTGAGAACGAAGAGGTTCTTGTGCTTGCGGATTGAGTGGAGAATCACGGGCACGTCGAACAGGATGTCCCATGACCGTGATAGCTGGATGTGATAGCAGAGCTCAAAGTCTTGAGCGAGAAGAGCGAAAGCAACGAGTTGCAAAATACAAGCATCGCTGTATCTTACTGTGGTTGTTGCCGACGTATGACGCTGATGCACTTGCCTAGCCTTGACACTCCACGCCAAACTTCGATGGAGCACAGAGCCCGGACAACTTATGATATTAGGAGTTATTGAAGCATGAAACCAAGGTTCATTGCACGCGGGGTTCTGCTTCAAAAGCAGTATTAATACATATCGTGTCAACCCTGTCAAGAAGCTGTCGCTGGTACTGTAGCTATGCACTGAACGGCACAATGATCTCCTATCAGCGAGTCCACCTACACCACAACACTTTACAGCAACAGCAACACCACATACCAACAATCGCTACAATGACATAATAGGTCGCCGTGTATTGCACTCGTACCGAGCCGACAGCAGCGCTGCGCTGCGTGCCTCCATTTTGCGCGTATCTATACACGTTACTTCTTCACTGCCCAGTGACAAAATGCTGGCGATTCCGTCCTCCCTCTATCAAGTGCTTCTGCTGGCTGCTGCCTCCTCTGTCTAAGCTTCATACAAGCTCCAATCCTTCTTCAAGACGCCGTTCATGCGCTTCACCTGGGGGTCCGTCTTGCCTGCGCAATAATCACACAACAACACAATCAACTATATGTCCAATAGCCCTCAATAATCGCGACCCAACGCACCACGGAAGGTAAATCTGCCGAAGACTTTGCCGTGCTTGAGGTCGGGCGAGGGGCGGATGCGCACCACCTCCCAGTATGAGGGCTCCGCGTACTTCGCCCAGATGCCGCGCGTCACGCGCTTGCCCACACCGTACTCGCGCGTAGGAGTCAGTACCTGGAAGGCGTTCTTGAAGGTCTTGGCCACCGCCGACATGATGCTCGTCTCCTGCTCCAATAGTAAAAGTAAGAGGTGTCGGAACCACACAGCGATTTTCGACCAATCAAAGATAGTTTGATTAAATTTTAAGCAAATTGGTTGGTTGAAAATCACACAGAAAAAATGCCCATAGAGCAGCTCAACTTGGACAAGTTACATGTTGTTACATGTTGGCCGAGAGCTTGAACTTGCGGAAGAATTTGCCCATGGGCGCCAGCATCTCGTCATGGTACGGGATATCCTATAAACATTAACAATGGATACGTCGTTTCAATGAGTGAAATGTTCAATAAACAGTTGAAATGACAGTGAAAAAAATTGCTGTTACCTTCATGCGCTTGAGCCACGCTGCGACCTTGGGGAAGTCCTTCTGCACGTCGGTGAGTAGTCCCATGACCTCGAGCTGCACCACTTCGTTGTAGCACGATAGGTCGACAACCGTCGGCTTGGTATTGCTCACCAGGTAGAGGTTGCCATGACGCAGCCAGAACTCAAGAATGCGAAACATGTCCGAGATGATCTTGTGCTTCTTCTGGAGCATGGCCTCCATAGCAGGTGTACCGCGGCCGATGTTGAGCATCAACTGGTTGAAGAAGATCTCCGAGCTGCGGCGCGTGTTGAGGTGGTGCCAATTAGTGTACTCCTGGATCTGAAACACGCACAACACACTGGTGAGTGCCAAAAAAAATCGGTTCAACGTCAGGTGACAACATCATTCCTTACACGAGCACGGATCTTGAGGTCCTTGGGGCACCATGATTCCCACCCGTGCTTGTCTGCAAGATAGAGCATGATCGCATGGCTACCGTAACAGAGCAAGTATTAAAGGTTAAGCCAGTGTTGACAAGATTTCATTGACACATTTCCAACCTCTCGGTAAGGACGAATTCCCCATCCTTGAGTACTGGAATCTTGCCAATGGGGCTCAGCTGAAGGAACGTCTCCGTGCGAGTTTCTCCCTTGGCCGGGTTTGTGTACTTGTACTCGATCGGATGGTTGTTCAGCTTGCAGAGCCAATAGACTACGAAGAAAACAGAGTGTCAACGTGTTTAATTTCTACGAAGACACCGATGCTGTCGTACCGGCGCGCGACGGCTGGCTGATCGGACTTGCATATAGTTCCTCCGTCATGCCGGCAGGTCAATCGTAAGAGCACGAAGAGCAGGACAGTTTGTGAAGAGCTCCACAGTCTGTTGATGAATCAATTTGAAGTCATTATGTTTGATAATGATAGCACCATTTCATGTGTACACACCGTGAATGCAACAAGCAATGTATGCAATACCGTCAGCTTCAACATGTACGTCGAGCACTCTACCTCTGTTCTCGACAACAGTGCAGCCTATGCTGCGCAATAAATGCATTACATCGCTTCATTACTGTGACTATGATATCATTCTCATTTCCGAAGTGACGGACGTCGCGTCGCTTCTTCCGTTCGTGGACTCACGATCATTAATTGAAGCACGTACATCGTTTGTATCCTGCTTTCTCGACATGGAAAGGCTTTCTATTATAGCAATAGCCTCGCCACTTCCTAATAATAGCCATGGAGACCCTCTGGTAGCCTACTGCCCTCTATCCGTTTCGCCACCAAGCTCTGCTGACAACAATAGCTTCCTCTCCTTCTTGTATATGGCCTGGCAATCCAGTGATATTGCCTCGAGAAAGCTCAAGAAAGCGCAACGCAACAGGGTATACAGGCAGTCTGCGGGTTCAGCGTCGGCCGTAGCAGAACAAAGCACAGTACACTAGAGCTTCCCGCTTCCGGGTGTCGTGGGGAGACTTGCTTCACCCCCTCATTTCGGAGCACTGGGTTCGTCGCGTAATCTCCGGAGGTTGCTCTCCTTCTCCAGCTCCTTGCCCACACTATCCGAAGCCTCTTCAGCATCGCAGACGCCATCGAGATTACAGCAGTTTCTAAGGTCTGGGGAAGTCGACCGCGACCTGGTGCAGAAGTTCTCGCATCGCTCGGATAGTGGTCGAAGCGAGGACAACAAAAAGAGACCAGGAGACCAGAGTCCGCTGCCTCTCCGTGGTCGGAAAAAACCAAGCACACCTGCAGGGCAGGTGCTGCGCATCGCATCCGTCACGACGCGTGGATCAAAGGAGGACGAGCGCTCGGCGCCCAGTGCCGTGGCGCCAGGCGCGCAGAATACTTCATTATTTCTTGGGAACCCTGCTGATCAGTCCAAGTCTAAAGATGCTGCCGCTGGCGGTGTAATGCCTATAAGAACGACAATATTCAGTGGAAATGGCGCAACCTATAATAATGCAGGTCAGCACGGCTCGGAGGCGATCCACACAGTATTAAACGATCGCGCGAACCAACGGGTCTCACGTATATACCCGCTAACGGATTCCGTCTGTGTGGCCCAGAACAAGAAAACGCCCGTGGAAGTGAAATTCCACCCAATCACCAGCTCGTTTGTGAATGAACCGCGGCTCGAGAAACTGTACCAAGTTACGTTTGCACGCGAGAACTCGGCTCGGTCATCACGTATGGCACTGATCTTCTTTTTCATGTACCTAGCGTTCACGGGGTCAAATTTGTCCAACCTGCTTTCAAAAGACTCAAGTGTGCGCTCACAAAGTTTCCGGTATTTCTTGCTGGTGTTTATCCCGATCCTTCCGATCCCGTTGCTTGTCTACATCAGTCGGAGACGAGCGCACGAAATCCAATTCCAACGGATCTACACGCTTGTGTTGCTGTGCTGGAGCTTCTCGATCATTGCCGGTGGGATGTTCTCTATGCTCACAGAATGGTACAACTACGTGGCCAAGGACGTGGATATTATCCTAGATGAACTCGGAATCGCTAACAACGATGACTCACGCATATTTTACGTGAACAGCACGGTGCGTAGTGATTGGCACTTCAAGGGAATCTCCGGTACTCGAGCGGAGGTGCTGCAGTCGTATACCAAGGAGATTCTACTACCTTCGGCTACTATGAACATTAATTTGCTTCGCCTGATTATGATTTTTGTATTCGTGCCGCTGTTGCGTATCGACACGCTCCACTTCGCATTGGTTGGTGTTATTACCAGCGCTAGCTACATGGCTCTTACGTTGCTCTTCTACCCCGTTACGGACTCGACGCCATTCATTCTTAACCGCGTGTTGGTTATCTGCTTCCCGATGGTATTTACTCTTGCTATGCTGGTTCGTAACCGAGACGTGGATCGCGTGGTACGTCAAGACTTTTTACACGTTTGGGCTGTAGAATTGGAAGCTGAGAAAGCCACTCGCGAGAAGAATTTGATGGCCGAAGAGAACCGCACACTGAAACAGGAGTTAGCACAGCGTGATAGTGAGTTCAACTTGGATCTGACATCTCCGCTTCATGCTTTACTCTCAGAGTTAAAGTCGTTTCTGGATACTGTGGACTTGAGTGACGAGGACATGCAGCGTGGTATGGCTATCGTTCGCAATCTAGCACGTCTAGATCAGAATCTGTTCGTTCCAGATATCAGCGCACAGATCAAATCTGAAAAGGAAGTGGATAATGACACCAAGAACTGGGCCTTGTCAGTGCTGGCCCGTAAGGACTACGCCGACACTACTCGTTCTGGAGTATCGATGTCTCACAGCTCGCATTCCAACTCAAACAGCAACCGAAGAAGCTATAGGGATGGCTTAGGCATCGGAGCTGGGGGGATTGCCGGTTCCATGGTTATCGCTCCACTACCAGATATGCCTACGTGGGAGGAACAAACGTTAGTTCGAGTAAAACAACGTATTCAGCAAGACGGTTGGGATTTAGACACTCTCCAAATTGCTGATCAAACCGGTAACCGGCCACTTATGTACGTCACCGCAGCATTGTTTGAGTTACATGAATTACACGAAGAATTCCGTGTCGACCGTGTGGTACTACGTAACTTTCTGTACGTGCTGGACGATGGATACCTCGCCAATCCGTACCATAATAGCAGCCACGCAGCCGACGTCGTGAACTCTGTGAACTTCCTCATCACAACGCTAGCGGACGGACAGATCCGAGATACTTTGACAAATCTCGAATTCTACGCGGCACTGGTGGCTGCTGCTATCCACGATTTCCGCCATCCGGGAAAATCTAACAATTATCTTATCAAGGCAAAGCACGACTTGGCTCTGCAATACAACGACCGCAGTATCCTGGAGAGCATGCACCTCGCAGAAACTTTCTTCATTATGCGCAATCCACTCTGCGATATCTTCGGTCGTATGAAAGATAAACCGTACCGAGAAATCCGGAAAGCTATCATCGAGATGGTGCTCAGCACAGATTTATCGATGCACTTGCAATTGGTAGGAAATCTCAAGGCACTGCTGCTTCAAGAGGCTACTGCCCTGGCAGCTGGGGTTGGTACAGGTTTGGGAGGTGTTGTACCTGCCCCGAAACCCGTCACAGACCCTATGATGATCATGAAGGTTGTGATCAAGTGTGCGGACATCGGCCACGCTGCTAAGAAGCGCAAGCTGCATGTTATCTGGTCAGCGCTTATCATCGAGGAATTTTTCCTGCAGGGTGACAACGAACGCGCCAATAATTCGGACATTTCACCTTTCATGGATCGACATTCGGAGAACAGCGCAAAGGTATGTTTTGGTGTTTTTTCTTGAAGATTTTATATATTGATGACATTTTTGTGTCTATTAGAATCAAGTTGGTTTCTTCGAGTTCATTGTACTTCCTTTCTACGACACAGTCGCACAAGTTATATTCGCGCCGGAATTCGGTGCTATTCACAACATAGCAAAGCAGAACTATACTTTATGGAAAGAGGCCGACCGCAGACAGCTCTCGTCCATCGTGGCCATCAAGAGCGAGGTCTTCCTGAATGACAAAGTCCAGGTGCCATAGACGGCTGCGTTTTGGCGGAAAGGGACACCCCAGTTCGACCTCTTTGTTGTAGGCATTAGTTTAGCATCGCCCAACCCGCTCTACGCAATCCACTTCCTTTCTATCAAAGTTGTCAGTAGATACACATCCTTTTAGCCATCACTTTTCAGTTTTGATATATTGACGAATTTTAGAGCGATGCTACAAGACGTACTCGTGGCTTCATTCCCCCTTTGTTGGTATTATCGTTTGCATAGAGCACATGGTAATTCCGTACGGCGTTCCAGTGATTCTGCAGTCGGTGCGA